TATTCACAGGCCAATGGTTTCATTGAACGGAACGTACAGACTGTAAAAGGCTTGTTACAAAAATGTAAGGAGTCTGGAGCAGACCCTCATCTCGCAATGTTATGCTTGCGAACTACACCTATTGAACATCACCTAGCATCACCCGCAGAGTTATTAAATTCTAGAGTATACCAGTCAAACCTACCATCTATTTCTAAGACAACATCGTTCGATCCTGAGAGTAACGTGAAGTTACAAGCTCGGCAAGACCTACAGAAATGGTATTACGACAGGTCTTCAAAAGAACTCCCAACCTTGAAACCGGGATGCAACGTTCGTGTTTTCAACCATCGCAGCCATAATTGGGAATCCGGTAGTGTAAAACAACAAACTGAAACACCTAAATCGTATGTGGTTGATATGTCCGGCACCCTGGTGAGCACCCTGGTTCGAAACCGCAGACACCTTCGACCAACTGCAGAATCCGATATTCCCAAATCACCAAATTACCATAGACAAAATCCCACCGCTGATGTGGAGCTGTGTCCATCAACAAGTCTGGCAGACAATTCAACACCCATTGTGCGTTCTCCACCTAAAGATCTGGATGGAAATCCACCAATACACTCTGCAACGTTCTAGCCGTACGATCAAGAAACCGAACAAACTTAACTTGTAATGAGTATAAGACTACAAGTACATTAATAATTATTCCTTTAGTATTTCATAGTATAGTAATTTTGAGCTTATTATAACTATTTCATCTTTGACTAGTCAGACCTAAAAACATTACTTTTGAAACGTTAAAGTATATATTTAATTAATAAACATTTAGTTGATATTCTAGAAAGGAAGGGATGTCATGGTATCCCCGTGTATATGCCTTATATGGTAGTGCATGCCTTATATGGTGGTCGTCCGCCATCTTGAAATTCATGAGTTATCTTATAGTTATATGTATTATTTTATAGTTAGTTAGTCAGTAATAAAACGTGAAAAAATTCGCAAGTGGAAAACCGGCTTACGCAAGACGATTTTACTCGTCAAGGCGAAAGTGCTTGGCGCCACTCAATGAACCCAATAAGCTGCAGTACTCTCCCTTTGACTAGTAAAATCATCTGGCATGAGACGGAGTGAAATAAACTAGTTTAGTGCATTGGGGCACAATGCAGCTTACTGGGTTAACTGACTGAAAATATATTTATTAAACAATATTACTCCTTGTCGACAAGTAGTTTCGCATTACATTACAATTCAATTTTTCAAATGTAAATATCGCGGCGAGTATTTACCCCCCTTTAAAACAAAATCCACCATTGTAATCCTCACAAAATAACCTTTCGAACGGGGGGTCAAGTGTTGTCGAACATTATACAAACCGAAACAATCATATAGTTATACTCACCGC